GCGTGTTGATTTTATATCCTGCCACTTTGCTGAATTCATTTATTAGCTCTAATAGTTTCTTTGTAGACACTTTTGGGTCTGCTAGGTACAGAATCATGTCATCAGCAAATAGTGATAATTTAAGTTCTTCTTTTCCTATTTTTATGCCTTTAATTTCTTTCGTCTGTCTAATTGCTCTGGCCAGTGTTTCGAGAACTATGTTGAACAGAAGTGGTGAGAGAGGGCATCCCTGTCTTGTTCCAGATTTTAGAGGGAATGCCTTCAATTTTTCTCCATTCAGAATGATGCTAGCCTGAGGCTTAGCATAGATTGCTTTTACAATATTGAGGTATGTTCCTGTTATCCCTAGTTTTTCTAGAGTTTTGAACATAAAGGGATGCTGTACTTTGTCGAATGCTTTTTCCGCATCTATCGAGATGATCATATGGTTCTTATTTTTAAGTCTATTGATGTGGTGAATAACATTTATTGATTTCCGTATATTGAACCAGCCTTGCATCCCAGGGATGAATCCTACTTGATCATGGTGCACAATTTTTTTGATATGTTTTTGTATCCGAGTGGCCAGAATTTTATTGAGGATTTTTGCATCTAGGTTCATTAGAGATATTGGTCTGTAGTTTTCTTTCTTTGAAGTGTCTTTGTCTGGTTTAGGTATCAGGGTGATGTTGGCCTCGTAGAATGAATTTGGAAGTTCTCCCTCTTTTTCTATTTCCCGAAGTAGCTTGAAAAGTATTGGTATTAGTTCCTCTTTAAAGGTTTTGTAAAACTCTGCTGTATACCCATCCGGTCCTGGGCTTTTCTTAGTTGGTAGTCTTTTGATGGTTTCTTCTATTTCCTCAATTGATATTGGTCTGTTTAGGTTGTCTATATCCTCCTGACTCAATCTGGGCAGATCATATGACTTAAGAAATTTATCGATGCCTTCACTATCTTCTAATTTATTGGAGTATAAGGATTCAAAATAATTTTTGATTATCTTCTGTATTTCTGAAGTGTCTGTTGTGATATTGCCTCTTTCATCCCGTATGTTAGTGATTTGAGTTCTCTCTCTTCTTCTCTTCGCTAGCATGGCTAAGGGTCTGTCGATTTTGTTTATTTTTTCAAAGAACCAACTTTTAGTTTTGTCAATTTTTTCAATTGTTTCTTTTGTTTCGATTTCATTGATTTCAGCTCTGATTTTAATTACTTCTTGCCTTCTACTTCTTTTGCTGTTGTTTTGCTCTTCTTTTTCTAGGATTTTGAGATGAAGTATGAGATCATTTATTTGTTGATTTTTTCTTTTTTTAAGGAATGAACTCCAAGCAATGAATTTTCCTCTTAGAACTGCTTTCAATGTGTCCCATAGATTCCGATATGTTGTGTCTGTGTTTTCATTAATCTCTAAGAATTTTTTAATTTCCTCCTTGGAAAACTTATCATCCATATATAACCAGGGTCTTCCAATGGGATTGACCAAAAAGGAAAATTTACAACTGTAACCAATTAAATATTTCATTTGCTTTACTTGTATTTTGGTCAAAGCCTTCCATTTGCATTCTCTCAGTGCTTCTGAACCACCTCTGTTTTGGAGATGCCCAAATAATGAATCATTCTTTGAGCAAATAAATTCCAAAATTATATTGTGCCTCACTCTACCTTTTTGACACTAGCATGTTCATTAAAGAAATGGCCAAGAAAAATACACCCCAATATAAATAAACTTCCTTAGGTATCACAAATTTTTCTTTCAACATTTTTATTCATTCAAAAAGAACCACAGGGCTGGGGTTGTGGCTCAGCAGTAGAGCGCTCACCTGGCATGTTCAAGGCCCTGGGTTCAATCCTCAGCACCGCATAAAAATAAATACATAAAACAAAGGTATTGGGTTCAACGTTTTTTACAAAATAAAAAAATATTTTTTTTAAAAAAGAACCACAGTTCTTTGTATATACAAAAAAAAGTAAAAATAACATATTAGTAGAAGCAAAACAAAATGAAACAAAACAACTGAGTCAGATCCCAAGAACACAAAATATAGCCTGAGAAGGTTTAAATATCTAATCTGAGACAATCTGTGCACAGAGTAATTGAATATAAAAGTGTCTGACAAACCATTGAAATCATAGGAGTTGTGATTCCAGACTGCTAATAAATTCCATGTAAATAAAATATTGAATAACAGGCAAATAAGGGAAGGTGGCCATTTGTGGAAGAATGTTGGGTGTCAATTGGTAAATATTGAATTTGGATTTCAGAAATTATCATTTTCCAATCATCCTCATAAACTCTCCATAAGAGAGAGTCTTAATTTTAATGAGGATTGGGGTATTTGCTTGCTTTCAAAGTTTTTCCCCATAGCTGGGTGACTTGTAAAATGGGTAAATCAGTGATAAAGTCAGTAATAACAGGCGTGACATCAGACATCACCTTGATGCGTTGGTCAGAAGTGATCCCCCACAATCCCAGCAGATGGACATCACCAGGTTTAAATGAAACATTCTAAAAGCACAAAATCATCTATCTGGTATCTCACCTAAGAATAGATAGCAAGAATCTAATCATGAGGAGGCATCAGACAAGCCCAAAGTGAGTAACATTTTATTTAAAAAAGAAAAAGATGTTCGGACAATTTTCTTCAAGGTTGTCAGTGCTATAAAGCCAAAGTCAATAGAAACTGCCAGATTAAAGAAAGCCAAAGAAAGAGAACTAAGTATAACATTGTCCCTAGATTAGATCCTGCAAGGAGAAGGAAATATAAAGAACTTTGTTGAGTCAATTGACAAAACCGAATGATGGATGGTAGGCAGTTAGATAAAAGTACTGTACTTTTTAAATTATCTGTTTCAATGTTTAAAATAAAGTACAAGTATAGATATCTTAGAAATGTTTTAATTTTATCAAATAGTTTATCATCTATCAAAACAGTTCTGTGTATTTTCTCCTTTGAAATATGTTATTGTGAATCATGAGAACATTAAGATTCCTAGACTAGCCCTCACATGGTTATAATGCATCTTAGTACCTGAATTTGATTATTTAAAAGCATAATGAATAAAGTAAAAAACAGATAACTTAAAAAGCTGCTGGTGAGACTGCAAATTGGTGCAGCCAATATGGAAAGCAGTATGAAGATTTCTTGGAAATTGTGAATGGAACTACCATTTGACCCAGCTGTCCCTCTCCTAGATCTATACCTAAAGGACTTAAAAACAGCATACTACAGGGACACAGCCACATCAATGTTTATAGCAGCACAATTCACAATAGGAATGGATCTAGATGCCTTTGAAAAGATGAATGGATAAAAAAAAATGTGGCATATAAAAATGGAATATTACTCAGCAATAAAAGAGAATAAAATCATGGCATTTTCAGGTAAATGGATAGAGTTAGAGAAGATAATGCTAAGTGAAGTTAGCCAATCCCACAAAACCAAATGCCGAATGTTTTCTCTGATATAAGAAGGCTGATTCATAGTAGGGTAGGGAGGGGAAATGTGGGAAGAATAGACAAACTCTAGATATGGCAGAGGGGTGGGAAGGGAAGAGTGGGTGTATGGGGTAATCAATGATGGTGGAATGTGATAATCATTACGATCCAAAGTACATGTATAAAGACACGAATTGATGTGAGTATACTATGTATACAACCAGAGACATGAAAAATTGTGCTCTATGTATGTAGTAAGAATTGTAATGCATTCTGCTGTCATATATTAAAAAAGTAGAATCCTAGTCTTTATTAATAAGTTTGAAAGAATGAATATTTTCAGGATAAAAGGGGCTACTGTCTGTGTGCAGGGGTGTGCAGGGTGCGTATTGTTGGGTGTTCTGAGTCAGAGGTAGAGAAATCCTACCTCTGAAAGAAAAGGAAAGGCTGATGTGCTGAGAAGTGGGGAGAGGAGCACGAGCACAGGAAGTGACACAACTGCTCAGACCACTTGTCTTGGTCCCTGATGGGTCCTCTGGCACCGCATGCTGGGTGTGGCCCTGATTCCTATTAGCCGAGCACCCTTACCCGGCTTCCTCTATACCAAGCAATCTGCAGCAATCAGATGTGGAAAGGTCCTAGCTCTGATTGCAGAAGGGCCCTACCAGTAATGCAAGCTTCAGCAAGGGAAGGTATTCGTTCAGCAGGTCAAATCCTTGCCCTTACACATGGAGAACACTGGCTCCCTTCCCTGGATGTGCATTAGGATCATCCTGGGAGCTTAACAACCCACTGAAGTCCAGCCACACCCCAAAGCACCTAAAGCAGAACTTCTGGGGAAGGACATGGGCACTGACATTTATCATTTACCCTTTGGGATTCTCATGTTCTACCACAGTCAAGGAAAAACAACTTTAAGGCTCCACACACCCAGATATTAAGAATATTTAATTATAGTAACACTAGCTAAACACCATTCCAACCTAAACTGCAACTGCTTTGCTTTACATGGTTTGGTTAATTAATTTTTATACCTTCTCTGCCATCTTCTAAGAAATAGTTTTAAATGACTCTGATGCAATATAAAAATATTTCGGTCAAACAAAAACTCTCACTGCCATTCTATTCTTCAATGTGTTTCATATCCAGTATTACCTGAATCATCTATAAAATTAAAAGCATTTGATTTTATTTGATGCTAAGGTATAAATTCAAAGCACCCTTGATCTGTGGCAAATAAATAAAAAAGCTGGTTACATAAATCTTTTCATAAGATTTAATCCTCCATTCCAAATCATGGCTCCCAATTTACATAAGATTCTGTGGGAGGTGGTTTGCAGTGAATACCATGCTCCAAGGCATGCTCTGAGGAGGCACCGGAAACAACTGGAGAGCACCAAACTTGCCAGTCTCAGCAAGATGACATTTTCTCCCTATTGATTTATCTAAATTTCACTTCTAAAAAGAATACTCAAAAGCAGCTTCACTCCATTTCAACATTTCTCTATGCCTACAAATTTCCATTAAAAAAAAAAAAAACAAGATTTGATTACTTCACTTCAGAATCTTCAAGGGACAGAATTCTTACCTGCATTGGAGCAGATGACATCTTGAGAATTCTTGCACATTTGGTTGCTTTTTTTCCTTGTCAGGTTACAGTTGGTTGGGTACTGGCAAGCATCCCCAGACCACCCCGCATCACATCTGCACTTCCCGCAGTCACAGGTACCATGGCCTGAGGATTTAACAACATCCAGTGAGACTCAAACTGTCTTTCTACCATTGTAACAAAAACTCTTAAGGGTGGCATCTGTTCAAGGGTGAGCAATAATAAATTGAAACACACATATCTCTCAGAGGCTAAGGGATAATGCTATTATCTATAGTATAATGCAATATAAGAATTTTATCTCAATAATCAGCTTTGATAAATGATTGTATAAACCTTAAATTAATTTATAGAGAAATCAGGGTAATACATCAGAAATCTAATAAACCACATGGTCAAAAAGTTTTGCAATCAAAATATAAAAATCTACTTTGTACCACAGAATTTGAGAAAAAAAGCCTAGGAGGAATATTTTTATTTAATTGTATTTCATCATGCCTAAAACCACAAATTCTGAATGAGGAAGCTTTGTTTAATGAAGAGCCATTAAACTAAACATCAGTCCTATAGTTATCTGAATTAAACAAGAAATGAAATTTTATGGATACATAAAATATCACCATGGGATAAGATTTACACATACAAGTAAATCCTTCTTCATGAAGAAATTTGGTTCAAGAATCAAAGGTATAAGAACTTCTGTCTCCATAGAAGTTTTCCAGTCCGTACTGATCTCCATCACCAGCGATCATCCTGCTTTTAGGCGATGTCAGTTATATGGCTGTGATCCTAAACTGCATTAAAAGCCCTCCTTGATGGAGCCCACAAATGTTTTTATCGACTGCACATTAGCCTGACCTAAGTACAAAGCACCTACACTTGGCTCTTGTCCTCAAAGAACTTACAAACTTCAAAGTCAAGGCTGATAGATAAAGAAGCTGGTGTTACCATTGTCCAGAAGTGTTTGCCATTTCATGAACAATAGTCTGTGACCTACAGGAAGAATGGGGATTTTCGGGACTATCTGGTTCTTGGAAGTTAGGCAGGGTTGGAATGGGTTGTAGGGAGAGAATGTTTATATTACTAAAGATAATAATACTAGGTCTAAATGTCTAAGATTCAGAGACCTCATAGAATGAATCTTTGATCTGGTGCCAGCAGTCAGTCATTTGATGTGGCAGCCAGAATCCATAGGATGAGGTGCAGGTAGTTGGTCAGAATTGATAGCTCAGAAGCTGCCTGTCTGTGCGTGTTCAACAGAGCCTGAATCGGATTGGCTGTGAGTTTAAAACCTCTCTTCATGTGTTCCAACCCTTGTAAATGCTTTTATTTCTGTTGCATTTGTCAAATCAATTGTTTCTGTTTTGCAAACAAAGTCCTGCAAGCACCTATTTGAAATTCGTTATACTCACTTGACTCTGTAAGTTGATCATATCATTTTGCATTCCTGTTTGTCCTCACACATTCCTGTCAGTCCTGGCCAACTTGGTATCATTCATAAGCACAAGTGATCCTGCCTGTCAGCAGTCCAATCTATTTGTAAAAGGGTTGATCCAAATTCTTGAAATGGCTAAGCCTCTTTTGGTAAATTATGTATCTTGGAAACTGTACTGACTCCTTCGTAACATTAATGTGTTAGGCTGAATCACATGATATTGCCAGCTTTGTCAGTTGAGTATCAGATAGTTCTTATGGCTCATTCCAAAGAAAGGGCTTTATGTCAACAGTAAAGAAAAGTAGAAATGTTTTAGAAGATAAATGAGTTTGATATTAATGATTTGCTGACCCAAGGATAAAAGATGACTCAGTTCTTTTATGGTGGGTTGAAAATCTTAGACCTTAAGGTACAGTATAGGTAGCAGAGATGAATCAAAGGTTAACACGTTTTTTTGAGTCAAGGATCACAATTCTTTAAAGGGAGCAAAGATTAAAATGGGAGGGAAATAAGGAAAATGTACATAGGATAAGAAAAAACTCATTCATCTCAAACAGACCCAAAGAAGCATTAGTAGATGCAATATTCTAAGGTGCTTATTCCACACAGCCCACAGAGGCGCAGTTTCATGAAACTCCCTCAATGAAAGACTCTAGGATAAAATAACCCTGGGAAGGAGTATTTTGTATGCACCATGATACGTACTGGTACACTGAAGACCCCCCAATGCACTGTCCTGAAAATGTGATTTATATATTTATTTATTTATTTTGACTATAGGGCCCCTTCCCTCATGAAGAGAGTTAGCATCCTGGGGACCCACTCAGGCCAACCCTGGGTCTGGTGGTGTGTTCTCAGCACTTCCTTTAGCATCTGCTCAAAAATGCCAGGGGATGTAGGGAAGGTTACTGCCTTCATATTCTTTCTCAACTCCATGCCCAGTAAAAACCTCTTTGATTCATTTCTCCCCATTTAGTAAAGCTAATAGAATAGAAATTGATTTTTGACTGTCAAAAATTATCAAATAATAGGCCACATACCCTTATTTGGAGGTAAATATATTATTTTTTTTAGAAAAGAAAATAGTCTTCAGACCATTTTTATTATTTTTTCCAAGTTAATAAGAGTTTCAACAGACCTCAGGGGATTAGATTTCTATATTATTGTGCCAAGGTAATCTCCATTACAGGGTCCATAATATGGCTTCAGTAAAAGACCCCATTTTTCAAAATAATTTACCCCTTATATATCAGTTTCCTGGATTCCCATAACAAAGTACCACCAACTTGGTGGCTTAAAACAGCAGAAATCTATTTTCCTACAGATCTGAAGGCCAGAAGCCAAAATCAAGGTGTCAGCAGCGTGGTTCCTCCTGCAGGGTAGTTCTGAGGGAGAACCTTCCCATGCCTTTCCTGCTACTGGTAATTATTGGCACTCCTGAGCTTTGTGTGGCTGAGAAGGCCCCTCCAGTCCCTGTCTCAGACCCCCACACCCTCTCCTCTGTGTCTGTGCTGTCACCCTAAGATAAGCACACAGGGCACTGGACTTGGACCTCCCTACTCCAGCAGGACCTCACCTTAATATGAGTATATCTTAAAGATCCTATTTCCAGACAAAGTCACATTAACTGGCACAGGTGCTAGGTATATAGATCCTTATGGGGAAGGTGTTCAGCCCACAACAGTTGCAAATAGACATCTGTACATTCATCTTTCCTAATCCGAATTCAGGTGAAAGGTAGATCACTGTTTTCTCTTAAGATCTTGAGAAACTGGCTGGCCCAGGATGGCAGCTAGGCCATCTGCCCCTCGCCTCTGCCCTACAAAGGAAGGTCCTGAGAACCCACATGTACTTGGGCACAGCTCCACTACCGAGGGCTCTGCCATCCCTCCCCTCTACTCCTCCTGTAATGGGCTCTCCTTAACCACTGCTCCAGTCTAGAGAAATGAACAATGCCACAGACCCGAGGGCAGGCCAAGTCTGGGGGAGAGTTTGGGATCTTTAAGGTGGAAAGTTCTCAGTTCCAGGCACCTCAGTGTAAGAGACAAGACGTGACCATTTCCAGGGGTCCAGGTGGCCACATTCCCTTGGCTTCTCGGACAATCCCCACCCCCACATGGTAACAGTTGGAGGACCAGAGCAGGGACCCTAAACCACGGGATGCAGGACAGGACTCCTCCTACCCAGGCCTAGGGGTGGCCTCTGCTGTCCCAGGCCCACATCAAGTCCTAGCCAGCAAAGGCTTTCCCATTCCTGACTGTCTAAGCCATTCCAGCTGTTTCTTCCCCAGGCAATTCAGTTCCCACAACTATGAAATGTGGTCTTAAAACGAACAGAGCAACATGCTTGAGAATAAATCTGTTGACCTTCAGATAAGTTCCCAAGGAGTCGAGGGAAACCAACACAAAACAAAAATGTCAGAGAAAAGCAAAATGACTCCTTCACCAAAGCAATGGGGACGAGGAGGGGAAAGGCCATTTCTACTGTTTGCAGGGTTGTCATGGTGCAGCCCGGCATCGGGAAGGATGCCAAGCCACAGCACAGTGTGCGTTCAGTATTGTGATCCTCTTTTCAGGTAAGAGTGCAGAAGCCTGGCCACTTTCTCCCAGGCATGCTAACTTCTTGCTTCTCCTTTGATAAAGGAAAAGTATTCCAACAGAATAACATAGGTTTTGTGAATCCTGAATAATCAATAATCAGCAGCTCTGCAATTACTTCCTTTTTAAAAAAATTTTTAACTACGTAATGCCAAGGCACTAATCTACTCTAGTCAGTGGTGAAATTTTCCTTAAAAAACATCAAGGGAACAATGCAGGCACTTTTTATTTAGTTATTTTTTTAGTACTGGGGATTGAAGCCAGGGATACTTTGATACAGAGCTTTATCCCCAGCTCTTTTTTATTTGTTATTTTGAGACAGGGTCTCACCAAGTTGTGTAGGGCCTCACTAAGTTGGTGAGGCTGGCATCAAACTTTCAATTTTCCTGCCTCCTCCTCTGGAGTTGCCAGAATTACAGGCAAACGCCACAGTGCCCAGCAGATACCTAAACAAACTGCCTTAAAATGGAAACAAAGATTTTACCAGCATAGAAGAATTTTTAAATATCAACTATTCATTTGCATATATCAATGAAAAAATAATTGTAAATTGCTCTGCCAAATATAAGAAAGAAAAAATAAAGATGAAAGGGATAGCGCTTAACTCTCTCCTCCAAGTCTACTAGCATTTTGCATAAAAATAAAATGTACTTATTAAATTAGCTACACGTCTGTGGTCTCAAGACCTAATGAAATATTAAATAGGTAAAAAGTAGAAAACTAGCTAGCTAGATAGAAGTTGGTAAATATGTAGATAGGTAGACATAGATACAGAAATAGATGTAGATATATAAATGTAAATATCAATAGGTATGAATAAGTGTATCTCTATATATGTGTATGTATATGTATAAATGCTGGGGAGAGGTATTGGCCAAATTGAATTGTTATACATATCTGTATCTATATATACACATACACCTATCTGTGTACATATGCATACACACACATTTTTTCATGTTTGCAGTGGTTGGGATTGAACCCTGCCTCACGTATGGTAGGCCAGCACTCGACTACTGAGCTACATCCCCAGCGCTGGGTAGAGCTATAAATGATGATACAAATGTACATGAAGATGTAGATCTAGAAGTAGA